AATGATTTTTATTTTTGAAAGCTCTTAAGGAAAACTGCTCCACAAAAGAGCGAACAATCCCACCCTCAAGGATCGATTAGCAAGTGTCGCAAGTCGATTTTCAAGAGTGTCAAATTCATTATTTGACCTCAATAATTGTTGGAATATTTGAATTATTATGGAATGTCCCACTAACGTGAGGGATTTCCCACGATTTAAAGCATTTGTTTAATTATGGTTGAAATGGAATTAATGGCCAAATGAACATGATTTTGGTCTTGCAAAAGTAACACAAACGTGTTGCAACTCTAATTCCGATACGAAAATTAATTAACTATATAGTTGACATTGATGTCTATATCTATACATATATATGCGACTTTCAATTACTTGTTATCTTGGAAAAGAATTGCAATTACATGCAACTCATAATTTGAAACCAGGCATTATAATTATCACCATTCGTTGCTGTGCTGCTGGTCTCATTTATTGTCGAATATCGAATATATATAATCGAGTTGATATTTCGAGCACGTACATCGAATATTATAGTTATTATATGCGTTATGTGAGTGCAGAGAGTGAGTGCAATAAAGTGGCATTAATAAAAGTGGCAGACACAACACTGAGATAGAAATCCGCATTAGAATCAAAATTCAAGCACATGACAGCCAGAAAATGGCGATGACGATGACGTGCTCGTTAACAGCAAAGCGGAAGGCGTAACCACAACAGAGAAAGAGGGGCAACAGCTCAAGGAACTTGCCAGCGGCAAAGACTGAGAGAGAGAGCAAGAGAGCGAGAGACGAGTGCGGGACAACATTCTATTTGTTTTGCTGTGGCAATAAAATGACATAATCCGTAAGCCGTGTGACACTTGAGACGAGCCGATTTTGTGAATGTGTGTATGTGTGTGTGTGTGTGCGTGTGTGTGCACACAAGAATGCTGACCAAGACAAGGCGAGATTTCTATAATGTAATGTATAAAATATAGCTGTGTATTTGTAGTTGTTGTATCTGCACAATTAAAGGCGTAACTTATGCTTGTCAATAACAAGTGTGGTATGTAAATTACATGCATAAATAAATAAAAAAATAAATTAAAATTAAAAGTATAAACGTTTTTACTGAGGCGGAAGTGAGCGCCTTTTGTTTGCGAAACCAGTTCGCTGCTATTTTGCTACTTTCATATCTATGTATCTGTATCTGTGTATGTGTGTATCTGTGTGTGTGTGCTTAATCAAACTCAATCAATCGTCAAGCTATTTGTTCCGCAAAAAAATCAACAATATTGCTTACAAGTGTGACAACAGCAACAACAACATTAACTAAAACAACAAACGCCGACCGCAAGACGGAACCAATTGTGCAAAAAAAATATATATACCAAAAACACAAACAATTCAATGGCTGGCAAACCCCTCCTAGAACGGTTAATAACACTACCTACATATATTACTTATGCCCACGAGTTCCGCTGCGGGCGAGCAATTGATTTAATATGCAAAACGGAAATGTTTCCTATAAAACATAATGACAGCCCCAGTCAGCAATAAAGCTCAGGATGAGATTTTGAGATATGAAAACGTAGTTAGAATTGTGAAGGGGAACATTCAACTGTTGTTCTTAAATATTTTGCAATATATTTTACTTTTAGTTGAAGAAATTGCTTCCTATTCTAAAATTGACAAATATGAAAAAAAAATGAACAAAATGCTTGACGTAACGTCAGTTATATAAGTTGAGATTTAAGATTTATAAAGTGATTTGAAAATTAACAAAAATATACCATAAAATATGCCGCTTCAATAAATATCCTATTTATAGTTTAATTTGCAATAGCAAAAAGTTTTCCGCTTAAATTCACAGCTTAAAGACAAGAACAAATATAAATTGGCCCACACACAATTTGTACCAATTTGTTGTCAATTTTAAAATGCGCATTTCAATTAACACAATTTTGTCTAAGCAAAAAAAAAAAATGAAATAAAAGTATTATATTTAGAATTATATGTTTCAGAATTAATTTAAAAGCAGCATTTTATAGTTTTGCCCGGAATTATTTACTTATACAAGAATGAATGAGCTAAATTAAGGGCATTATCGAACTGGAAGCAGGATATATCTGCGCATATGTGTACACTGATGTTTATAATAAAAGTGCGCTCATTAAATTATTGACATTGTCAATAAATCACACACAGGCAGAAAATAACAAAAGGTCGCAAATCAAAAGTGCTCTTTGTACAGATACAAAAGCCATAAGATACTCTTGGAACTTAAGAAGCATATGAAGTGCCTTTGTTGAGTGACGATTGATTTTTATTTATATATATATTTTTTTCGCATATGTATGAACTGTATTTATTTGTGTAATTATGACAATTTTTTGACGCCACGTTAAATAAACAAATAACACAACAAAACTCACAATAAGCCTCTTTGTCTGCGACAAGCTCAGCAAATAATAATAATAATTTAAAGAAATAAGCTCATAAATAATTAAGTAAAACCTAGGGGATACCTTCAAAAGAACTGTTAAAAATATTGATTAAAACACAGCTTCTAGTTTTGTAAATTATAAAAAGTAGAAGTAGATTGTTCAACGTCAAAATACTCTTTGGTTAATAAATTGTGTGATTGTTAACCGGTCTTGTGAAAATAGTTAAAGTTGATCAAGATTTTAAAATCCATCCGTTGCCTTTGCCCAACTCCAGGGTACATTTTTCTAATATATAATATGGGACGCATATCTATTTTTTAGAAATATTTTCCATTTTTAAAAATATAAATTTTATTAGAAATTAGACTCTGAATATTATAGTCTCTGAGATTGGTTTGCTCAATAAAGGACATGACGAGAACGAGTCGACTGTTGATGCTGATAAAGAATGTGTATGCTTTGGAGATGATTTCTTCTGCCTGTTACATACTTTTGCACAACTTCATTGTACCCTTTTAGGAATTTTGAATGGGTTGAGGGTATACAAATGACAATAACCTGTCAGTTGGATTGTTTCCTGCCGTGTTAAAAGCCTCCTTTCGAGAGCTATTTTGCATAAAAATGTGCATACATAAGTGCATAAACATAAATAATAAACAACTTTTTGGCAGAGGGGCGATAATTGCATAAAATGCAATTGCATTTCAGAGCGTTTTGCTTCCTCATGGCATGGAAATGAATTTAAGCGCGACAGTCACATGCAATCAATAATAAAAAGATGTAAAAAGTATCTACGCAAGTATCTTACATTTAATTTTTTTTTGCATTTCCGCGTTCGGCTTGCGTAATTATTAACGCACTTCATTTAAATTTTATAGTTGCTTGATTTGCATCTAGTATGCACTTAATATAAAATGCCTTATGACGCACTTAGCATATTCAAATTTTTGTACAAAAATCAATTAATTTATATTTGCTCTATCTCGGGTAGACTTTGGCGCTGGGGCGTTAAATTAAAATAATATATATACATATATATATATAATAATGTCGAAGACTTCGTTTGAATGCAAAAGGCAAATAAAAGCAAAAGCATAAGCTATTTTTGACAAATATCTTATCAACTGACAGAAAAAAAGCAGACTAACAAATTGACAGCCAGATAGCAAAGTCACTAAATAATATTAATTATAATATTAACTCTTCTCCCCATTAATATGTAAATATTTTAAACGAAAAATAAGCCTTTTTTTAAATGCCTGATCGATGGTTTGCATAAGAATGTTTTAGTAAGAAGCGCAAAAGCTGCTTGTTTTTTTGTTTGTCTATTTTTAAAGCGTCAACATTTTTGAAAAACATTGGCTATTTATAAAGAAGATTAACATAACGGGGCTTATAGCCGGCAGTCTTTTTGGTGCTATATCGAGTAGTCTACAAGTGCAAAGAGAGAAACAAAGAGAACAAAGAGAGAAACAAAAGCAGCCGCCAAACAGTCTACAAAATTCGGAAACTAAACAGCTCGTTTCGCACATTAGCATAAATATAATTGAAGAAAACGAATCACAGTTAGAAATTGGAACTTTGTTTTTGGCCACAGCACTCATGAACAGTTATCGCTTAAATGAGAAATTCTAGAAATTCTTCGCTACACTATTTATATGTATTTATTTATATAACTTATGTACAACATTTTATTTATTTTTTTGTTGCATATATTTTCTGTGCATGCGAGACTATAATATTTGTACGCTATCTTAAGTGATCACTGTACTAACTCCAAAATGGAGAAGGTTAGAAAGCAACGGTATTTAATAATATCATATGTATGCAGCGGCTTCAAGCCTATTTTCATATGTATGTGTGTAAGTTCATTACTTTGAAATACCGTTGCCATTTGTTTCTCTACGAAAATGGCATCGCCGGGCCAGAAACGTAGTGCAGACAGTAAAGCTTGCGTGCTCAACTTTTTGCTGTTGTTGTTATTGTAACTGGGGTTGTTTTGTTTTATTGTGCTGATGACCTTAAATTAGGCGTAGGTCTTCATTTTTTTTTTCTTGCTGTTGGCCACGTTTGGTTTGCTTAGTTTTTTTATTGTTTCTTTTTTTCGGTCAGCTGTTTTGTGCGATTCGGCCTCAAGTTGTAATAAATAACAAAAAAAAAATCTTACAGTCGTAAGAAATAACAACAACAATGCTCCAAAATTGCCTTGACCTGCAGGCGAAAGAGCCGAGAATAATGGCAAATAATTTTGTTGGTTAGCTTCGTTTGGATTAGCCGCCACATAGCGCCTAATGTGAATACATATAAAAGTGAATGTAATGCAGACAAAAACCAAAAAGGAAAATGAGAGAACAATAACAATTTCAGTTGTAGAGTTTTTTTTTTGGCTCGTTGGGCTAAGAAAAATAAACCGTTTGAGTGACACAACTAAAAGGAAATCGAAACAGCAGCTTAAGACTAACATTAAACGAAATTAAATCAAAGACAGCGAGTGACTGAGAGAGAGAGAGGAAGACAGCCAATGCTAGCTGCCTTTCTCTGCTGTCTATTTCTTTTTTCTTACATCACACACACACACCTGATTTATATAGCTCTCGATGATCCCTTCGCTGGCTTCGCTTGGTGGTTTGCCTTGTGAGCTTGTGCTCTAAACTGCACTCGGATTTTCGTTTCCTTTGTTAAATCTTTTCTTCTTTTTCTTACTTCTTTTTTGGTTGCAATTAAATTCGTTTGGTTGTTTTAGTCACATTTCTAACTGGTATTCATTTCACTTTTTTTCTCTTTTTTTATTTGTAGCACTCTCGTTAAAACATTTAAAATACACAAAGACGCACGCGTCTAGTAAATTTATTATAATTATCGTAGGTTTTATTTGTTAATGCGTTTCCAGCTGCTCTTTGGCACCGCGCAAAGAGTTTGAAAATTATGCACTCTGTAATTATTTTTACAATTATAGTTGATTAATTTTACAACACACACACATACCCAAAATCATAGTTGATCAAATTTGATGCAAATCGAATTTAAAGAAAATGCTTGCTGAAGTTTTTCTTTTGTTAGTTTGATTTTTCCAAAGCGTGGACAAAATTCATTTACGTATATATTTTCAATCAAAAGAAACAGTAACCACAAAATGAGCACAGACAAAATTAGACTGACAACAACAACAAATATAGCAAAATTGTCATTATTATTGCTTCTTGTGACTGCAACAAATTGAAAACCACACTCTCTTAACACACACACACACACACATTCACGCACACTCACGCACACTCGACACAGGCATACATATAATTAAATAATTTAGTAAAACATGGGCATGGTGTGTTGTGTTTGCGAGGGGGTTGTAGTATTTAATTATATATTTATATTTGATTGCGTATTGTTTGAAACAATTTACAATATTTATTCGTGGATGTCACTGCACATTCAAACCGGTATTTTTACTTATTTTTGTATTTAATTTAGCACGTACGGTATTTTGTATTTTATTATTTTTTCTTTACTTCTTTCTAAGTTCGCGCGCGCGCTTTTTTTTGTAACTTTTCAGCTAGCGATGAGCGATGAGCGATGAGCTTACAAAATACAAAATAAGAGTTTGCTGACACTTTTCTGTTTCGCTTTCGCGCGCTTCGGAGCAATTTACTTGCGTTCGTTGCAAATGAAAAACTTAAACTGATCGACAAATTTCTACCGTAAACCGAACCGTGCATGCAGTGTCTCAGAAAACAGCGACAAACCTCAGGGAAACAAATTAAATGAAACAACAAAAATAATAACAAAAACAAAAATAACCGAACGCCAACGAATACGAATACGATCTTTGACTGACGCTTACGTCGCTGCTGGCGTTGCTGTTACCGTCGCTGTCGACGCTCTTGTGTAAATTATGCCATTTATTGCCGTCGCACAGTGGCCACTCACAAACATGGCTGCACTGCAGCACTGTAGAAAAATCACTCATATTCTCCATTCAATTTTTAAAAGTCAAACGAAATATTCATTTTGTGCATTAAATTGTACTTTATTTTATTTCCATTTAAATCTTATTATGTTTAATATGTCAACTATATTTCTGCTATTAGTCCTGATCGTTAAAATATGTGTTCCACTGTGCGCAGTCTTTTTTGTTTATAGGGCAGCGTTCATTGTGCTGCTCTCGCTCTCTCGCTCTCACGCTCTCTCACACTCTTCTACTCTCGCTCTTTCTCTACCGCTCTTTCTCACTCGCTCTCTCTCTCTCTCTCACGCTGCGCTCTGGCTCTCTGGGCGAGTCGCCATGTGCTTCAATAAACATAAACTTGTTTTTGTTGGCAGGTTTAAGCGTAGCTCACAGATTGCTTATACACTTCTTTTTTGTTTTTGGCTATTTTTTTTGTATGCTATTTTTTAATGCTTCTCAAAATAAATGTAATAATTATTAATAGTTGAGTTGCGTGCCTTAATGTTTTTTTTTACTGCTTGAGCTTACAAACAATAAAACAATACTGCTGATCGGCTAAAAGTCTTAGTATGCTGCTAAACAAATAAAATGTTGCTGTCCACAAGCAAATGTTGCCAAGACATGTTGCTGACATTCAGCGGTATTGCTGACACCTTAGCCGTTTTTTAGTCGCTACTAATGCACATGTGCACTGAAACTAGTTTCAAATCGGGACTGCGTTCCGAATTCAATTTAATGCAACTAGCTGCAATTATTTGTATTTATATATTTATTTTATTTTTTTTGGAGGCTAATCGCTGACTTTGTAATTTTATTAAAATTACTCATACGCACAGTGAGCCGGTCAAATTAAACGTTTCAAACGAAACCAAATCACTTCCTGCCTTTACTTAATATAGGTCATTATGGCAAGGGTGAAAGTAAACTGAGTGCCCTCACCTTCCCCCCACTTTTGCCAGCAGCGTACAAGGTTTTGCGTAGATAATAATTATGATAATCGAATTGTTCAACCTTCAACCTTTAACTGAGAATTTCCTTTAATTTAAGCCGCTGAAAGTCATGACTTGACTTGACTGGCAAATTATGCAAGAGGTTTACCTCATTTTCAACCTTCTCACACTATTTTTTTATTATTATTATTTTGTTTTTTTTTTGTTTTTTGTAATCATCAAATCTGCATTATCATTGTACACTTTGTCTTGCATTCTCTGCGTTTATTTTGAATTCGAAACCTTCAAAACAATTTGAATTGAAACTGAAATGCATTTCGACGTGTGGAATGTGTAAATTATTTTGATATATAATTCTCGTGGATATTTACTTCTTTTACGTCATACACTATAATTGTTGTTGATTTAGATTTATTTAAATGCTAATTAACTGCGAATCTAAAAGTGTTTTAAAACCACTCAAAAAGTCGGCACTTTAATTGATTAAATTGCTTTGATTGACCAGAATAAAGCCAGCAATCGTTCAAAAATCTATCTATGCCTATAAGAAATTTATGGTTCCTTGTCATAAACACAATATACACAACAATAAATATATGAAGATGTATATATATATGAATGTGTATATATGTACATCGGTTATTTATGTTTTTTGTATTACATGTTATCGATAACAAATTGATATCCGATGGCAATAAAATACACATTTTTCAGGCTATAGTCGTCCAATTTAGAATTAATACACGTATATCTACTGATCAACTGTACTTCTTGCATAATTGGAGTTATGCTATTGCATATCGATATGTTATCGATACATTTCAATGTGCCAAACTATGAGCTATGTTTTACTTGATTCAATATATTTAACAGCTGGCTGCTGGGTATCTCCTAGTCGAGCACTATCAACCAGTGATTTTTTACTTCTTGTGAATTTTGTTGTTGCTTGGAATGTTTATTTATATTTGCAATATTTGTATGCCAAATGTGCGCAAGTGTTCGCCGTATTTCGCTCGTATTTACATTTATTTATATTTTTATTTGCTCTTCAATTGCAGTTTTTGCTACTGTAAATAAAAATATGACAGAGCGTTGTTTACAAAATGTAAAAAAAAAAATATTTAATACATGCATATTATTTATTATTAATGAAGTCAAGGAAATAAGTTGTGTTAAGCAAGAGAAACAACACTGAATATTATATACCCTCGAACTGCTCACATCGAAATTTCATTATGAATATAGTAGTCAAAAACATTATCAAAATATTACTCAGCAAGCCTTTAAAATGTTATAAATTAAGCCAAAGAAATGAGTTGGCGCTAAGTAAATAAAACGCTAAATTTGATAGCTGGAAAAGTTGCCATTATAATTAACTGTGACAATAAATACCAAAAATTAGTTTTGGTTTTTTTTTTTATCAATTTTATTTAATTCAGATAGCATTATATGATACACTCTGCAGACGCGCACAAATGTAATAAATCCAACCAAAAAAAAATAACATAAATCATAAGCTAAAGAATTCGCCTTTAATTCCTATACTAACTGTTTATTTTAATTAAGCAGCTTACCTATCAAATAGTTAAATTAATAAAAATGTTTAAGCTTGCCTTCACAAAATGTACTCACAAAATACTTAAGCTGCTTAATTAAAATAAAGCATAAAGCATAATAAATCAAATAAAATCGAAAAACGAGAAATTTTACCTTTAACTCTTATAATAAGTACTCGCGAAATAGTTAAGCCGCTTAATTAAGATACCAAAATAAAGATTTTAATTTAATTTAATTTTTTTTTCCGTCTGTCAAACAGCTGATGCAATTCCCAAGTCCTTCTGCTTAAGCTTGCAGTTTAACTGCTAAAAATGCAAAGCTGAAAACTTTATTTGCTCTTTGTGTGTGTTGTTGCTGTTGTTGTTGTTGTTGTTGTTGCCATATTTGTCTGTCATATAACGGAAGGTGTGCGAATTTTTGCAGCAAGTTTCGACAACTTGTTTGTTGTTGCAGCTAACTATAAATAGCAAAAGACAACGACAACAACAACAGCAACAGCAACAAAGACAACAAAGTTGACAACGTTGATTGCAAGTTGTTTGAGTTTTGCTTTTATGTTGGTCTGGTCCAATAATGAAAAGAAAAAAACCGGCTTGACAGGAAAACACTATTTTCGTTTAAATAAGGAAAAAATGCATAACAATTTTTCATTTTTCTTCGTTTTTTTTCGCAAACTCGACTGCGACGCGACGCTGCTGCTGGCGTTGACTGCGCTGCCAGTGAAGCCAGCTATCCTTCGGCACAAAGAAAAACCCTTTACGGGTATAATTTACATTTATACGGCAAAGAATGGCATGGAGCTCGTAATTTATAAAATACTTTTCTATATTGAATATAAACAACAGTTTTTGTTCGGTATTTGAAACCAAATACAATAAAAAAAAAGGTTTTAAGTCTTGAAAAGTGTTCTTTACATTATTTTATACATATTGGTATTTATAAGATAATCCTATCAAATATTTTGAAATATATAATTATCAATTATAGGCAACTCAAGTTTTTCAAATTTTGTAAATGAATGCAGCTAAATATTTACGAATTAAAATACTTGTTACTTATTTATTAATAGGGTATTTAAAGGCCAATTCGTAGACAAACAAAAGTATTTTGGCTTTGCTGGATATGCAGCTGTTTTATTGTTCGACTTTATCCATACGATTTTCGACTTCTTTGGACCTTGTTGTGCACCTTATTTGGCCAGCTGACAAATTGACAGCCAATGCTCCCAAATATCCACAATGAGGTTATTTTCCATCTCTACTAACACACACAGACATAATGTTTATGTGCTTGAGCTGATTTCAATTGCAAATTTAATATATGTGCACATCATTTTGCATTTATATTTATAA